AAAGAAAGAAAACAAAAACCCTTTCAATTAAATTTTGCCTGGTAAATAGCTGTCAAATAGCTACAAAACTCAAAACAACGGGACTCGAACGAAAAAATGGCGGTCAAGTGAAAAATCGAGTGAAAACTGGGGATAGCCTTTTTAACGTAGCCGCTGACCAGTGAGTAATGATTTTGTTTTTGTTTTTGATTTTGATGTGAGCGATTAGCAATTTGTTTTTGATGTGACAGTTGTGGGCCACCGTAGAAGGAGCTGTATTTCTTGGCTGAGATGGCGGATGGTGAAATCCACAAATTGGTATCTCCTACTATTATGGGAACAAATGTAGAGAAAGTATCTGCCAATAAGAATAAGGTGGTTTAGGGTTAAACAAAACGAACTTAAAACACCATACATTATTTCATATTTGGAGAGGATGGGTTTTTTCTTGCAAAGAGAAGAATACCAATGTGTAAATTCTGACCAAAAAGACACTGCTAATGGGCAATCAACAAAGAGATGTTCGCTGGTTTGTTTAATTTTAGAACAAAACGGACGGTTGGGACTGGAAGTTTTTTTCATTTTGTATAATAAGTTATTTGTACATAATACATTGTGAATGACTTTATACTGAAAAATTGCTAATTTAATTTCTTTCGTGACTCGAAACGGCAATGAGTATATTAAACGTCTTTTGTTGCTGTCGAAGCCACACGCGATAACTCGGCTGTCAGAAGTTGGGGAAGAATGTTCTTGCTTGAAATCAATAAGTTGTAGAGTGCTTTGCAAGACAATCCATCGATGTCAATAGTAGAAGCAGTGGATTCTTGTGAATTAGGAAGCTTTATCATATCTTTCCAATGCTGGGGTATTGCAGACAGCAAGCCATAAAACTGTACGAAATTGCATTTTAGTTGAAATTTTCGCTGAAAACCACTGAAAGTAAGAAATTGGCACTTATTTCTCGTCTAAGAGACTGGACAGCTTTTCAATGCCAGCACGATGCTAGCTTTCATAAAACACCGACACCTTACCAACTTTTATAAAACTGTTATTCCAGATGATTTGGTTCAGAGTATCCAATTTTCGTTGCGGCACAGTGACGTCTAAATTTTGCCAGTATGAGATTAGATTCGCATAGAAATTCGGAAGATCATCATTTAGTTTTACATACTTGATGTCGTAATTGCACCGAAAGAACAAAAAACCACCTAAATTAGAAAGCAAAAAGTTTGGAATTATCTTCCACGGAGACTCGTCAGTTGAGCAAAGGCGTTTCACCCAACATAACTTTAATGCCTTATCGAACGTTGTGAAATCTGTCATTTTGAGTCCGCCTTCTTCTTTGCTTTTCATAATAGTGGATTTCTTAATTTTGGCTGTTTGTATTTCCATATGTACTCAGATATTATTTTGTTGACTTTATCCAAAAACGATACTGTAGTTTTAAGTGTGCTGCAAACAAAGGTCAGTTTTGAAAGCGCTAAAGTTTTAACCAAGTTGATTCTTCCATAGAGTGTGATGTCTCTTGACGACCACATATTAAGAATTTTTTCCAGAGGACCCAGCTTGTCGAAGAACTTTTTTTGTTCAGCCTTCTTTTCGTCATAAGAGAAATAAACACCAAGTGCAAGAATAGGTTCATCACTCAGAGTCAGATTTAAAATTTTATCTTAATAGAAACGTTTTGATCCTAACCATAGCAGTTCTGATTTTGATTGGTTTATTTTCAGCCCTGAACACTTTTCAAACACTGTAAACAGGTCAAAGAGATTGTGAATGGATTGTGCATCTCTAACAATAACGCTGGTATCATCTGCATACTGTGCTGTACAGGCCCGCAAATGACCCCGACCCGCAAATGATCCCCGAACCGCGAAATGATCCACAAATTGTACCACAAATGATCCCGGAACCGGAACTGATTTTACCGCAAAAAGTTAGGAATGGCGTGGACTCCATGAAAAGTCTATGGATGGATACATATTTTCTTAATTATCCTAGGTGAAGAAAAGACAGGTACCTCAGGCATAAAAGCAGCAATAAAAGACGTTTAACATATTGCGCAAAATACTAAATTGACATGTGTCGACTGCATAAATTTTCCTGTTAGGAAACACACTGCAGAAAGAAACATGAATCTTCGAAGATGCCTCTGCCATCTAATTAACTGCTTAGAACTTTTCCCTGTACACTTCTTATACTTGCGTCCTAGATAGCCACGGACTCCCACGAAAGTGCCTAAGATTCCCTCGTGCTAGTTACCGTGGTAAAAACGTAGTCAGTCAATCCACTTGGGAATTCTCAGTTGTCTCCAAATTTGAGATATAGTGAACATCTCAGGCCCGGACCCAATAAAGTCAGTCAGGGATGGATTTAGCTTAACTATAAATTTCAAACACAGGATTTCGTGGCGTAAGACATCATTTTTACAGTTGTGAAATTTGCATTCAAATCGTTCATACTGCACATTTTCTTGCGTTTCATATAGTAACTGTTGTATCAAAATATTGTATTATTACTGTGAAACTCAGAAAACCGTAAATACCAGAAATATTTAAATATTATTTTTGTTTAGCAAGGAAAAAGCCAATTAAGCGTGAGAAAAATAAACCGCAAACACCAGCGGTAATTGGCCACGTTCGATATATCAATGTTCTAACATGGCTCAGAGGCTTTCAGGACAAACTTCTATGTTTAGTGGTGGTTTCTTTGTATCCAAGTCTCTTTTGGGTATTAAAAGAGAAAGGAAACTTAAAAATTTACAATTTTTACCCGAAAGCCTCGGAACGATGTTAGAATATTGATATATCGAACTTGGCCTATTGGTCGTGGTTTTGAGGTTTTCTCGCGTGTCCTGAACTTTATTGTGATTGGTTCAGTACCAAGTTAAACCTTATGGAATCAAATCCAAATGTTCACGGTTTTCTGAGTTTCACAGCAATAAGAAAAAAACGATTGCATAGGTTTTAAATCCACTGTCCAAATCCCTGAGTCCTCACACTTCCAAATTTTATGGCGAGGCGACCATTTCCGGTCCGGGATCATTTACGGTACAATCTGGGGATCATTTCCGGTTCTGGGATCATCTTCGGTACAATTTGGGGGTCATTTGCGGGCCTGTACAGTGCCAGTTTTACACACTTCCTTCCGGGTTCAATTTTAAGTCCTTTGATGGCACTCGAGCGTCTTACTGCGCAGCCAAGAATCTCTATCTGATACAAATGACAAAAAGTAGGCCGGACTGCAGGCAGCCTTGCCTGACACCTCGTTGCAGGCAAAAGGGCTTACTGGCAAAACTATTGTTTAGAATGCAACTAGAAATGCCATTAAAGAATACGCTGACCCAGCAACGGAATAGAGGGCCGAAGTTAAAAACTTTTAAACATTTTTGGAGGTAGTTCCATTCGATCGAATCGAACGCTTTTTCGAAGTCAAGAAAAACCGCAGCACCGGGAATATTTCTCTCCTTTGTAAACGACATCGTGTCCGAAATAAGTCTAATACATTCTCCCATATATCTTCCTTTAATATATCCTGTTTGGCCCGTACGGAATGGATGATCGAGGGCAAAACTTTTTCCAGACGTACCGCTATGGTCTTGGTTGCGATTTTATAGTCTGTGTTTAGTAATGAGATGGGTCTCCAGTTCTTTAAATGTTCTAGACTTATGTTTTTTGGGGGTCACCGAAATGATTGCAAGCTTTTGAGAGATCGGCAAACTGCCTTTACGAAAGGCATTGTTGAAGCTGTCAACGACATACTTACTAATACAGCTCCAAGAGGCGGTGAAATTCGATCGTAAGGCCATCCGAACCTGGTGTTTTGTCATTACAGAAGCCACACTAAACACATTTTGTACACTCCTCTAGTGTTACTAAGCCTTCGCAGCCCTCGCATTCTTCGCTTTCAAGAGTGTTTATGCCGTAGGGATCAAAAAGGAGCTTAAAATTGTCATCCTCTGGACTAGTGTTTTTAGATTCATAGATTTGTTTGAAAAATTGCGCCTCTTCGTCTAAGATTTGTTTGGCATTTGAAATAGAGGTGCCGTCCTCTTTCTTTAGAGTTTTTATGTGTTTTTGTCTGTGGTTTCGCTTTTCGAGGTTGAAAAAGTATTAACTATTTTTATCGCCAAATTCGTACCATCGGGCTTTACTTCGAACCATTGTCCAACGTGTTTTAATAGAAACAATTTTTACAAGTTTACTTTTCGCACGCTCCATTTCGTAGTTAGCGGTTTCATCATAGTTTGCACGTAACTGTAACTGGAGTTGATTAAATCGTGCGAATAGACACTTTTCTTCGTCTCTTTCTTCCTTGCTTTACGTTTTGCATAGGCAATTGTCGTAGCCTTTATTTCCTTTTTTATCATCTGCCAGAATAAACCTCTGTCATCAAGCTTGTGATATTTTGAAGCGAATTCGGGTACCGTTTTTTGGAATAAGATCGACATAATCACTGTCCGCAAGCAAAGAGCTATTAAACTTCCAGAAACTAGGGTCGCCGCACAAAGTCTCATTCTCTTCCAAGCGTAAAGACAGGCAGAGCGCTGAATGATCAGAGAAAATGTTTGGCACTATCTTACAGTCGGAAATTAAGTGTTGAGCATTTTTTGGCAAAAGGAAGTAATCAAGTCTTCATTGGATTTTCACTGATGGATTACTCCACGTGAAACCAGGTATATCTACATGTTTTCGTCGCCACACATCAACAACAAGGTTATGTATATTTAGTAGAGAGTTAAATTCCGTGATAACACCTTTTTTGTGTGCGGTTGGACGTTCTCCGCGCTTGTCAATGTCGCGCAGAGCGCAATTAAAATCGCCACCAAGGACGACCTTTTCATTTGCATAATGGTTGCTGATTGTCTGATTGATTCTATCTGCAGACGTTCCTAGGCAACAGCGACAGAGCCACAGTTACAAAATATTTCTTCAATCCAGACACTCTGGTTTTTGCCAGAAGCGTTCGGTTCCATCCTAAAGCTTGGGCTGGTCACATCTCGATGCGAGTAGAGATTTATGGTTGCAGAGAAGGTAAAACGATTGATTTTTTTATATACCAAACTTCGCAGAAGGAAACATATTCTGACGATAGAGTTGAATTTGAGTTACTGTTTGAATCAGCTCATTCTAACGATAGACGGATTGGTTTGGTGACAGCGTTGCAGCAATAAGAAATCCACACACGGTCCTTTTATCTCTTCAATGGAGGGTCATTGCATGTTATTATAAGCCGTTCTACCGTATTCAAGGCTATGACTTAGTGGCGTTTTCAGAAACTCAGGTACATTATAAGTGAATTTCCTTATATGGCTTCTGTAATATTTCCATTTTCCGGTTTTTTAACAGCTCGTAGTTGTTTTCTACCTCTGGGAATGGAGAGTGGCCATCTTCCAGACAGCGCAATATCAGCATCGACATACTATGACGCCAATCACATTCCCCAGTTTTCCCGCCTTAACAAGATCCCAGCTTCGGGTAAGGCCGGGGCCTGGTGCACGAGCACTAACAATGGTAATGAATGGCTGCAGGTTTACTTTGGTCGGGAAACGACAGTCACCAAAGTGGCGACTCAGGGGACGTATAATACTAATAACCGGGTAACAAGCTACAGTTTGTCCTACAGTGTTGATGGATCGCATTGGGCCTGGTACAGACTTGTTGATGGACACATTAAGGTATGAAATACAATTTATGCCGATACATTGTACGGAAATGAATTCGGGAGCTCTATGTGGTGTCGCACTAGTTTGGTGAGGATGATATGGTGTACAACAAATAATCAACTCGTGAATTGGCATTTCTTGGTCACTTGTACTGTGGCGGTTTTAATACTAGAAACTCAAATAAAAGTTAATTGTTAACAATGTCCATGGTAATTACATTATCATCTTCAGCAAAGGTGGGGCGAAAAAGGCACCGTTGGAGAGCTTTTTGACATTCCGTTTCGGTCGACAACGAGCTGTGATGGGGAAGAGTGCAAGTCCCCCTTTTGAGCAGCAAAATAGACCCGTGACACCATGATACGAGCACAAATATTGTCGTGTCTATGAACTAGCATAATTATAAACGTAAGTTATCAGTGTCTTTGTGGGCTGGTCATCAGATGGCAATACTTAAGGGCTTTTAAGGGGAAGGGCTTGAAACTGTGTCATTATAACGCTATGTTTTTTTTTTTCTGGAAAACATTTGACTCGAGCCTTACGAATTTGCCAGGTGTTTGGAGGTAACATCGACCGTAACACTCCAGTTTATAATTCTCTGCATTCGCCAGTTCAAGTCAAGTATCTGCGTTTCCACCCCAAGACTTGGTCAGGTCACATTTGTACGAGAGCAGAAGTGTACGGCTGCCAGGAAGGTAATTATAGCCGGTGTATAAAACATTTTGTTATGTAGCTTGTGTTTAGTTGCATGAATCTAACGCGCGCTCTTACTGGTTAATTTATAGGCACCCGGCGATGGATAAATCTAAATGTTGAACTTCGCCCGCTCTTTCCGTTAACCAGGGGTTAATTTGTCTTGACATTACTTTGTCTTTTATTGTTATTTTTGGTAGCATAAAAACTCCATTAATTCATAGTTGAACGAAAAAAAAGACTACTGCACGCAAAATTGCAATGACGTCGAAAGCGTCATAGTGTTAGAGATTTTCAGTGAGTAGAGGAGAGTTTCATTGAATATTCGGAGGGTTAGTTATTAGAAGGACTCTGCCTGTCAAAACTGGTTGGACTCACCTGCATCTGAAAGTAAACTATCGAGTGATTCTACTCAAATTTTCCAGTTTTAAGACTTTACCTACCGTGTAAGGTAAAGTCTGCATGCGAGCCAAGTGGCCCATCAGGCCGGAGCTTATCCCGGTTTCTGTAGCATGAAGCGACTAGGTGTATTTCTACTCCCCTCTGGATGGGATGCTAGTCCATCNCCCCGGCCAGGGCTCGAACCCGGACCGCTCGAGCCGGAGACGAGCGCACTAACCATGAGGCCACCGCGCCTCCCACTTACGTACAGTGTAACCAAAGCAAAACTTTTAGACCATTTAGCGACTGTTTTTTTTTCACCCAGTTGTAAAGGTCACTAATTTTTAAATTCATTCAGTGCTTATTTGCTGTTGGTTAGGATTGTATTTTTTATATATTTTGTAATGCTCATTTGGCAGCGAAATTTTGAATTTTCGCGATGTAATTGTTTGTTCAATATTTATTTTTTTACTATTATGCGATATAAAATGCGAAAAAATGTCTACAGTTTGGGGGCTAATAATTGCAGCAAACAGAAACATATCAATAAGTATATCGGAAAATATTACATTTAGAAAATATTGCATTTTTAAAATTAAGATTCTTAGATTTTTACGCAATTGAAATCCAGCGCAACTTTACTTCTTGTAATGTAGTAAATTAACTGAAAGAAATTGTCAAAGTTTGTAAAGCTGTTTTTTTTTTTTAACGGAAACAGATTTTCAAAACAAGACTGTTTGCATTTATCTCCCTCAGACTGAAGGAAGTTTAGCTGCCCTTGACACCCTATTGATCATTTTATTCATCATGTTTGTTACTGTCGTTTTACTTTTAGGCTATCAGTGCTCCATGTCACTTGGGATTGAAGATGGTCGAATTCCAGCCAGTGCCTTGACTGCCTCAACTGTTCACAGCGCTGCCTGTGCGGCCACGTTCGCCCGTTTAAACTTGGCAGCTGCTTCAGGTAAGGCAGGATCCTGGTGTGCCAAGACGAATAACGTCAACCAATGGCTACAGATTGATCTGGGAACTCCCACAACCGTTACCAAAGTAGCGACACAAGGAAGACAAGATGCTTCTCAATGGATAACTAGTTACTCGCTGTCTTACAGCCTCGCAGGTTCTTTTTGGGTTCAGTATACAGTGCGGGGTAAAAAGAAGGTAATAGTTTTGAACTCATTATGATTTCTCGTCTCTGATTCATTTTCAGCCTGTCCTAGTAGAATATAGGATGGGAAATAAGGTTCTCGTTTATGTGCTTATATTTCATGACGATCCGAACAGCGATTCGTACACTACTTTTTTGATTAACAAGCGTTAAAGATTAAAGCATGGCGTATATAAACACTAGAATTCGAATTCAGAGAGACGAGTAGGGACCAGTAACTTAAATAATTAGCTAGGAACGCAAAAGAAAACTTGGTGAAACCAAAATGTGCGTTATTTTCTTTGCTTTTCTTCAGTGCAACTTTACTTCTGATGTTCCAAGAAATATGTTGTAGACAGATCTATTTTTGTGCCACAGAGGGCCACTAGATTTTTTGTATAAATGTACTAACGTTCTATCAAGAATGCCGTTCTCTGATTGGCTACGCTACCGACTGTCTATTCTGTAGTTGATTGTGAGTAGCCCAGCAGTATGCGATCTGCTGCTTCCTTGCGTTTTCAAAGTAGCAGTTTCGAAATGTTGTTTAAATTTTAAAAGACTAGTAGATTCATACTAAAGGAATGAGATTACGTGTTCGAGATTTCATAATCTCATTGTACGTTTTATCAGGGTATCATTGGGCCATTAGTCATTAAGTGTGTCATAAAGTAGCAAGATTGATGTTACATAACAGTTATCGGATGAAGTTGTGCATGAAATAGCGAGGCCAAGGTTTAAGTTATTTGCCGAAGTCGGCTTTATTTACAGCTGTCACTGATGAATTGAAGCCGACAACGCGTGACACATGTGGGTCACGCTGATCACATAAACTAGCCTACAACTGATACCTGAGCCTCCATTGCAAGCTAGTTCCAGTCTAATAATGAGAATACGAATATTGACTATTCTAAATTAGCAGTCTGCTCTCGGCAACAAGATAGCGAACAAACTATTCAGTAATTTATTTCAAATCCGTGATTTAACTATTATTTAATTTCATTTTTTATTTTAGGTTTTTCGGGGCAACTTTGATCGGGACTCCATTGTTGCTCACAAGATCTTCCCGCCATTCCATGCCCGTTTTGTCCGAATCCATCCGTTGACATGGCACAGCCATATCAGCATGCGTGCTGAGCTGTACGGCTGTCCGATCAAGGTGAGAGAGGGCTGAAATAAAAATGATGTTAATCGAAAACAGTTTTTTTCTACTTGGGACAAGAGATTCCTTCCTTTGCTTGAGTTTATCGTGTGGTGTTCCGCAAGCTTCTGTTGTGGGTCAGCATATTCTATCTGTCATATGTATTTGGGAAATTTTCTCGGATATTTGTCCCCGGATTTTTCCGAGAAGCGAGCAGTTTGTCGGTTGTTTGATATATCTAAATACTAAATAAAGGAAAAATGGAGAAATGAAATTTTAAAAGTCTCTGTAGATTAATACATATTTGCAAGCACATTGATAGTTATTATTTCTTTCAACTTGATGTAGTATAAATAAGTTTGAGAAGTGGGCGTAAGCTATATGTATTGGCTTAGAAGGAGCGTTATTTTTTTAGTTTCCAAGAATTGACGAACTGCGAGTCTCTTTTGCAAGGAATTTAACTAAAAAAAATTAGACAATAAAATGTTATACCATTTAATTTTAAGTTAATCAAGGTGTGGGCATCCAGTTAGACTGCGGAGCAGTCTCTTTCTTTCCTAGCCTGCCAGAAGTTCGGCTTCTCGAGCGGCGAGCCGCGAGAAGCGCAGGCGCCTCTCCCCATTCCCTCCACGTTTATTCCCTAATTTGCACAATATTAACTGAGTTCCACCCGTGAAGGATTTCAGGAACAAAAACCGACTACTCGTAGTCTAGCATTCAGTGATGAAGGTGTAATATCGTTTTTCAGGGAATCTGAGGAAGAGAAAGCTCAGTCAGGCGCCGTAGAAACGGGAGACGGTGCAGCAACTTGAAGTACATGGAGTAGTTGTAGGGGTTTTGTTTGTGATATCTTCAAGTTTATAGAATATAGAATAAAGAGCTTTCCAAAATCAAAAGCAGTTGTCATTTCTTTGTAACTAAATTGTAGATTAGACCACTCTTCGTTCATAGTGTCCGCTACTATCGAGTTTATATTTAGAACATTTTTATTGCCCCGTACTTGAGATCCACCGGGAGCAACAATCGTCGACTGGGTTGTATATTACACAGCGGGGACTTCGATTTATACCGTAAAAGTTCGATTCCAGGCTTTTGCCCTTATTTTAACCTGTTTCGGGCGTTTGGTTAGTTGAGAACTTTTAGAAAAGCGGCGAGAGATAAATGCGGCAAGGATTCCAGTGCTCTACTCTTATTTTTTCTCTCGCCGTTTTCTGTGCGCTGCTTCTAAACTAAGCAAACACCTAGATTCGGGCCACCCACGTAATCTTTCAGTAAGTGACACTTCTCCAAAATATAATTTTTCACAGCAGAACTGACCCGCAAATCGAGCCACCTCTACTTCACCTCTCAAAAATTAGCACGTTTCTAATATATATACTAATATATACAGGTCATCTCTCTAATACATTCACGCCTGTCACAGACACAGACTTCCCTTTGAGAAGGGCTTATAATTTCCCGATTTTAATGAATAACGATTAATTGCTTTATATATAAACAGCATACTCAATTCCAGGCTATTGTGTAAAAACATAGCCTGGCTATTTCAGAGCAAAATGGAAAAAATCAATTCCGTTTTTTAAACCAAAAATCTGCTAAAAGATCATAACCTTCGGTGCCCCACATACCAATACAGCTATACAAGGGAGTACCCCTCTCCCCCGAGTCAAAAGGTTTCTTTACCTTCACAACGAACGAAATCATCAAGATGACTAGACCTTAAAATGCAGCAAAATTTGAAAACGTCGTGTTGAGAAACAGATTACGCAGTGAATTTATATGGCAGGGGAAAAACATTCTCACTCTCGGTGTCAAGTTGTACTCACAAAACTCTCCGTGCACTTAGCTGACATCTCCGTTGCTTTGAGAAATGAATGTCTTACTATAAAGCTTTCACAATTTATTGTCAGCAATTCAAAAGCGCGTTTTTTTTTTCAACCAAATATCAAGAAGTTCAAAATTTGTGCAAGCATATGCTTTATTTTCCGTCAACCTGTTATCGTATTACTCACGCTAACATCCAACTTTCCCGTTTTAAATAGCGTAATTTATTTAGTACGTCCCAATGGTGATTTTTTTCCCCGAAAATCGGGTGCCGCTACTTCCTGTACTTCCTGTACTTCCTGTCTCGATCTCTTTGCCAACGAGGTGCAAGGTAGGCTCGATTTCCGTCGCTCTCTCGTGTCTGGTTTACGTTCCTCGGGGGAAGAGCGCGGGCTCCTTCCCGATCACAGCGGCTGGTAATCGAGCTTAGCTCCCTTGAAGCAGTGAAATATCTGTCTTGCGACTTATATTTTTCATTCTGATCATAATATTTTGTAACGAAAAGTGTAAACAGGTAGATCTGTCGAGTCGCAACAGGAGCTTGAATTGCGTCCGTATATGTTTACAACATGTTTTAAAAGTTATGGGGTCTGAAATTTTTCAAGGGTCTGAGTTTTCGAGACGGACGGTCTCGGTTTTTCAAGGGTCTGAGGTCTGACACCCACACAGCTGGTGCTGGTTTTGCCGTTTCAGGAAGGAGATAATTTTATACGGTTAGGTAAAAAAAAAATATATATATATAATTGAATTGTATTTACTAATTTTCAACACAAAAAATGCTGTTCTTTTCAAAATCTCAGCCTCGAGTTTATTCTTAAAATATTCTTAAAATTTCGCAAATTTCAAGCGCATTATTCTTATAAAATGCATTGTAACAAAAAAGAGTGTATAACTATAAAGGCTCTATTTAGCCTCCATCATAATCTTCCCATACGTATGGTCTTTAGATTTTTTCCTTCCCAAAAAGGTAACGCAATATTTAACATTAGCAGTAACAAAGCGAAGATCCGCCCCTACATCCGTCATCTTTTCGAAACACACGGTTTCACTCGTCCCAGTACTTTTCATTCTTATTTTGTCGTACGCTCGTCCCAAACGCCCCTTCATTGTGGACAACAAACACAAGATGAATTCTTCCGCGAGTTAGACAAAACTTTTTATTGCGTGTGATTGAAAGTAAATTATTTTGCAAAGGTGTCTACATACCTCTTTTGCAAAATATTCATACGGCTAGCTAATTTTTGAAAGGTAACCTTGCCAAAGAGCTATAAAACAACTGTACATTCATTTTCTCTTTTCCTTATTGTTGAATTTATAAATACACAAAAATATGTTTCTAACATATTTATAAATGGCCGCACAGGCATGCAATTAAGAAAGTCAAATCTACAAATAACTATGAATTAGAAACTTTAATCTATGGTCAAGAATGGTTCGACGAGACAGACATCTTTAAACTGACGTTGACGATGTTGTTTTCAGTGACGTTACCACTAGAATTAGTAGGAACAGCATCCTTGACTGCCATAGCTTAACCGGTATTTCACTGCAGTTACTCCGACAAAATCTAAACAAAAATTATTTATGATATAAGCAAGTCAACTTAACACTTTCACTAATATTCTTTGAAAAACTACTAAAGTTCATTTCATGAAAGAAAGTACAAGCTTCCTTTCCTAGTTTTCACTGACTAATGAAACATTCATGACGGAACTCGAAAGAGCTGTGCCAACACTCGTCCACGCCTCGTGTTTCCACAGCATTTGCGTTTTCTCAAACATCCACTCGTGTTCAATTTCTAAAATTCACAATGACAATTTTACCTTGGCGACAGACGACATAATCTTTGACAAAGTCTCAATGTACTCTTTACCATCAAGTCTAATACTTACAACTTTAGAAGATAACGGTCTAATTACCTGTGCAAAACGTAGTTACAAATTAGCAACGATCCAATATAATAAACTCTACATCTTTTGAAAACATTTTGTTTAATGTTGCTACTGTGTTATTGAATCGCAAAGTGACCATCACTTTCTTTTTTTCACCGGACCTTTCATTATTACAGTTTTCACCTACATTACGTGCAAAAAATTTCGGATGATTTTAATTTCAAAGCAGCTAGTTTCCTTTATGGAGAGAACTCTAATTGAGACACTGCTTCAGATACTAATCGACTTAGATAGAATTTTTCTTATTTTCCCGTCGATGTATCTGTAAAACCTTCAGGGTGCAGTAAAAATATCATTTTCGCAGATGTTGTTTCAGTCTAAAACGTGTTTTGTAGGCATAAATTTANCGAGAATACGAATATTGCCTATTCTAAATTAGCAGTCTGCTCTCGGCAACAAGATAGCGCACAAACTATTTAGTAATTTATTTCAAATCCGTGATTTAACTATTATGTAATTTCATGTTTTACTTCAGGTTTTTCGGGCCAACTTTGATCGGGACTCCATTGTTGTTCACAAGATCTTCCCGCCATTCCATGCCCGTTTTGTCCGAATCCATCCGTTGACATGGCACAGCCATATCAGCATGCGTGCTGAGCTGTACGGCTGTCCGATCAAGGTGAGAGACGGCTGAAATAAAAATGTTAATCGAAAACAGTTTTTTTCTACTTGGGACATGAGATTCCTTCCTTTGACTCGAGTTTATTGCGTGGTGTTCCGCAAGCTTCTGTTGTGGGTCTCCATCTTCTATCTGTCAGATGTATTTGGAAAATATACTCGGATATTTGTCCCCGGATTTTTGCGAGCAGTTTGTCGGTTGTTTGATATATCTAAAGACTAAATAAAGAAAAAATGGAGAAATGAAATTTCAAAAGTTTCTGTTGATTAATACATATTTCCAAGCATTTGATAGTTATTATTTCTTTTAACTTGATGTAGTATAAATAAGTTTGAGAAGTGGGCATAAGCTATATTTATTGGCTCAGAAGGAGCATTATGTTTTTAGTTTCCAAGAATCGACCAACTGCGAGTCTCTTTTGTAAGGAATTCAGTTAAAAAAATAGACAATAAAATGTTATACCATTTAAATTTTAAGTTAATCAAGGTGTGGGCTTTCAGTTAGACTGCGAGCAGTCTCTTTCTTTTCCTAGCCTGCCAGAAGTTAGGCTTCTCGATCGAGCGGCGAGCCGCGAGAAGCGCAGGCGCGGAGAAAAATGGGAAAGGATTTTTTTCTTTCCTCTCCCCATTCCCTCCTCATTTCTTTCCCTAATTTGCATAATATTAACTGAGTTCCACGCGTGGAGGATTTCAGGAACAAAACCCGACTACTCGTAGTCTAGCATTCAGTGATTAAGGTGTAATATCATTTTTCAGGGCATCTGAGGAAGAGGGAGCCCTGTCAGGCGCCGTAGAAACGGGAGACGGTGCAGCAACTTGAAGCACATGGAGTAGTTGTAGGGGTTTTGTTTGTGATATCTTCAAGTTCGTAGAGTATAGAATAAAGAGCTTTCCAAAATCAAAAGCAGTTGTCATTTCTTTGTAACTAAATTATAGATTAGATCACTCTTCGTTCATAGTGTCCGCTACTATCGAGTTTACATTTAGAACATTTTTATTGCCCCGTACTTGAGATTCACCTGGAGCAACAATCGTCGACTGGGTTGTATATTACACAGCGTAGACTACGATTTATACAGTAAAAGTTCCATTCCAGGCTTTTGCCCTTATTTTAACCTGTTTCGGGCGTTCGGTTAGTTGAGAACTTTTAGAAAAGCGGCGAGAGAGAAATGCGGCAAGGATTCCAGTGCTCTACTCTTATTTTCTCTCTCGCCGTTTTCTGCGCGCTGCTCCTAAACTAACCTAACACCTAGATGCGGGCTACCCTCGTATTCTTTCCTTCAGTACGTGACACTTCTCCAAAATAAATTTTTTTTTACAGCAGAACTGACCCACAAGTCGAGCCACCCCTGCTTCACCCCTCAAAACTCAGCATGTCTTTAATATATACATTAATATATACAGGTCATATCTCTAGTACATTTACGCCTGCCACCAAGCATCGGCTTGCCTTTGAGAAGGGTTTATAATTCCCCGATTATAATGAATAAAGATAAATTGCTTTAAATATAAACAACATACTCAATTCCAGGGAAGCGTGTAAAAACACAGCCTAGCTATTTCAGACCAAAATGGTAAAACTCAACTCCGTTTTTCAAACCAAAAAACTGTTAAAAAATGATAACCTTCGGTGCCCCACATACCCATACAGCGTATACAAGGGAGTACCCCCTCTCCCCCGAGTCAAAAGGTTTCTTTGCCTTCACAACGAACGAAATCATCAAGATGACTGGACCTTAAAATGCCGCAAAATTTGAAAACGTCGTGTTGAGAAACAGATTACGCAGTGAATTTATATGAACGGGGAAAAATCTCACTCTCGGTGTCAAGTTGTACTTACAAAACTCTCCGTGCACTTACCTGACATCTTCGTTGCTTTGAAAACTTTGTCTTACTATACAGCTTTCACAATTTATTGTCAGTAATTCAAAAGCGCGTTTTTGTTTTTTCAACCAAATATCAAGAAGTTCAAAATTTGTGCAAGCATATGCCTTATTTTCCGTCAAGCTGTTATCGTATTACTCCTGTTAACATCCAACTTTCCCGTTTTGAACGACGTAATATAGTACGTTCCAATGGTGAGTTTTTTCTCCGAAAATCGGGTGCCGCTAACGTCTTCAAAATGTAAACCTCTTACTTTTCCCAGACCTTGGTTTATTTATTTTATTTATTTATTTGGTTATTATTCATTTATTTATTTAACTTTATTTATACACTTTATTCACACACGTTAAGATACTAATTTACTAGTAATCAAATCTAATAACAACCAAAATAAAACAATAATTGCAGAAATCGTGGTTGCAGTAGCAACAACATTGGTGGAAATCTTCTTGGAGACGTGTAGTTAGCAGTTCACGATATAAAAAGGGGGGCGCGACGCGCGAGCATGGTAACAAGACAAAGCAATTCTGCCTTGTCCCCAAGTTCTCTCCTTCGTCCAAGTCAATTTGTGTTGGATGTACGTGGAATTGTACGACTGGTCCTCTGCCTCCTGAACATTAAACCCTGCACTTCCTGTCTTGATCTCTTTGCCAACGAGGCGCAAGGTAGGCTCGATTTCCGCTGCTCTCTCGTGTCTGGTCTACGTTTCTCGGGGGAAGAGTGCGGGCTCCTTTCCCGATCACAGCGGCTGGTAATCGAGCTTAGCTCCCTTGAAGCGATGAAATATCTGTCTTGCGACTTTTATTTTTCATTTTGATCATAATTGTTTGTAACGGAAAGTATGAACAGGTAGATCTGTCGAGTCGCAACAGGAGACTGAATTGCGCACGTATGCGTGTTTACAACATATGCGTTAAAAATTATGGAGTCTGGAATTTTTTAAGGGTCTGAGTTTTCGAGACACTGGATGGTCTCGGTTTTTCAAGGGTCTGAAGTCTGAGTTTTCGAGACACCCACACAGCTGGTGCTGGTTTTGCGGTTTCGGAAAGGAGAGAATTTTATACGGTTTAGGTAAAAAAATATATGTATTATTGAATTTTATTTACAAATTTTCAGCACAAAAATTGATGTTCTTTTCAACATCTCAGCCTTGAGTTTATTCTTAAAATATTCTTAAAATTTTGCAAATTTCAACACCAATATTCTTATAAAATGTATTGTAATATAAAAGAGTGTATAACCATAAACGCTCTATTTAGCCTCCATCATAATCTTCCCATACGTATGGTCTTTAGATTTTTTCCATCCCAAAGTGGTAATGCAATATTCAACATTGGCAGTAACAAAGCGAAGATCCGCCCCTACATCCATCATCTTTTCG